AATACTCCCTCCGGTCCACAATAAGTGACCAATTTGCTTTTTTATTTTGGTCCAAAATAAGTGTCCATTTATATAATCAAGAAAGAATTCAATTTGTTTTTACAAAATTACCCTTATGTATATATCCCTAAAAAGTTTTTTTACTCCCTACATTAAATTTTTAATTAAGGGTAGTTTAGTCATACTAGGTATTTTTGCATAGAATTTAGTATTTTCTTAATGGGCGTGCTAAAAGCAAATTAGTCACTTATTGTGGACCGGAGGGAGTAATGTAAATCATCAACAGAGCAAGATAACAGTAAGAATGGAAAAAATCTTATTGGAAATGGGCCTCGATAAGCTGTAATGATAATGATGCTCATCGTTAAATAGTGCACACAATTTTGTAAAAATTGCACGGGGCGCCCTATTTCGGCGCCCCTTTTTAACCTGTAGCCGCTTTGTCTTTCTGTTTGCACCCGTACCCACTTTTTAAAAAACTTCAGCTTCCCTTTCTCCTCCCCTTCTCCTTCTTCATTTTCTCATTGTCTGGAAACACAACTCCGTGAGGACTGAGGAATGATATGGTCATACCATTGATCAGAAAGGCACCAATTTTTATCCAACAAAAAAACAGCAACACGAAAATCAAATATGTTGTAATATAGATAAAACATAGAAACCGTAAAGAAAATGGAGAAACTGATCATCAGCGATCAGAGATTCAAATGTTAGAAAGAAAAGTTTTCGAAAACGAAATAACATAACAACAAAGCATTTATTTTGCAATAAAAACAGAACGCAAAATCGGATGCATTAGATGATCACAATACAGTTAATTAGATGTAACTGTATCTTCTTGGTGTCCTGAGCTGAAGTTAATTAGACAAAAACTTCAGCTCTATAGCTGAAGTTTTTATTTTATAACTGGCAAACTTCAGCCCGGTTACTAAACAAAAACTTATAAAATAAAACTTCAGCTCTAGAGCTGAAGTTCGCGAGTTACAAAACAAAAACTTCAGCTCTAGAGCTGAACTTCAGGCCCGGCTACTAAAATGCTGAAGTTTTGTGTGATTGCCTTTGCTACTTCAGCCCTGTGTGCTGAAGTTATGCGAAAAAGCGGGTACGCTTGCAATTTTTTTTGCAAAGCGGGCACAGGTTAAAATGTGGCACAAAAGTGGGTATAGATGCAAATGCCCCCACAATTTTCTACCTTAAATAAGGTTGGTTGAAGTATCTATTGCGTAAAAATTGTATGGGCCATCCTATTTGATTGCCCCCTTTTAACTTATACCCGTCTTGTTTTTCCGTTTGCATCAGTACCCATTTTTTTGTTAAAAGCGTTTTAAAAAGATGTTTTTGCCCTTCAGGCCTATTGACAAAACTGTAGACTGCAGGACCAAACTTCAGCATGTTTTGGCATGAAGTTTTAGCAAATGAACTAAATAACTTAAGCATGTTTAGTCTGAAGTTTAAGTAAATGAACTAAATAACTTAAGCATGTTTAGTCTGAAGTTTTAGCAAATGAACTAAATAACTTCAGTATGCATTAGCAAAAACTCATTAGAAAATTGCATACTGCAAGACAAAAGCATCATGTTTAGTCTGAAGTTTTCGCAAATGAATTAAATAACTTAAGCATGTTTAGTCTGAAGTTTTAGCAAATGAACTAAATAACATCAGCTTGCATTAGCATAAACTCATTAGAAAATTACATACTGCAAGACAAAAACTTAAGCATTTTTCGTTTGAAGTTTTCGCAAATGAACTAAATAACTTCAGCATGTTTAAACTGAAGCTTTAGCAAATGGACTAAATAACTTCAGCATTCAGACCAAACTGTAGATTGCAGGAGAAATAACTTGAGCATGCATTAGCATGAAGTTTTAGCTTCAATGTAAAACAACTTCATGCTATATATATTAGTATGAAGTTTTAGCTTCAACATGAAACAACTTCATGCTACATTATATTAGCATGAAGTTTCTGGTTTTTTGATAAAACTGCTGAGAGGAGAGGAGGCAGATCACGCGATTTATTAGGGTGAAGTGTCATATTATTACGGATTTTTCGTCAACTGGCTACCAAATCAATAATTTTTAAAAATAAGGTACGGGTTAAAAGGTGGCACAAATATAGGGTACGACTGCAAATCCCCCATCTATTGCCAATACCACAAGAAGTATATTTGTTGTACACAACCATCCTGTATATATGTTTAAGTCAATTGGGAATTACCAACCGTTATGGAAGTGAAATCGACACAAAGTGCACTTCCAAACATGTGGAAATTTCATTGACTTGATAATCATACAAGTTAATAATTCAATCACGTGCTGGGATATTTCAACGATATGGGGTAGTATTTATTATAAAATAAGATTAGTCAAATGTTTCACAAATTGATTTTGATAATAAAAAATAGTATATGATATTCAATATTTGATTTAAGAAAATTTAATCAAAGAACATTTACTGTAATCTGACTAATTGATGATAGGCTATAATTACGTATTTTAGTTGATTATTACACTCTAATTTACTGCACTTTAATTGAGTTTGAGCTTTAATCGCTAGTATTTTGCACTAATTGTATATTTTATGCCTTGTAGAAGTGATTCCGAGCTATATAGATGTTATGGAATGAATTCAAGTGATTTGGAGCTTTAAAGTTTGAGTAAAAATTCAAGGAATTAAGCCGGGATTGTGTTTGGGGGTCAACGGATGATAGTTAGAGCGAACGAAGACTCCAGTAGGCAGATTGCGCACTGTCTAGTAAAATAGACATAACGTTTTGTTCAGGACTCTATTTTAGCTCCACAATATATGGTTGGAAAGCTAACTCAAAGGGATACAACTTTCATGTTTTATGTTTTTCCAAATTCGGAACGGAACTGGGTGAAAAATGCCCAGATGCGCAGCCGCGCTAGTTTTAGCGCGCCCAGAAACAGAAAGTCAGCCAATTAGCGCGCCCAGATGCGCGGTCAAATGCGCTGCATCGCTAGTTAAGCCCGGGAAAAGTGTCCTTTTTCAAATTGGAGAAGGTATAATTGTTTGGGCCCAACCCTACTTGGTATATATACATAGGAGAACGTTTTTTAGAGCAACTTTTGACCAAGGACAAGCGCAGAGCCGCCGTGGAGGCCGGGTTTCATCTTTTCTTCCACCAACTTAGTCTTTTTATGTTTCTTTGTGTGATTTGTTGTTTTTCTACCATGTCTATGTGGAGCTAAACTTCACGTTCTAGGGTTGTGGTTCTTTCATGACTATTGTTATTCGGATATTGATTTTGATTTCTTAGTTTATCATATTGGTTTATTTATTCAATCCTGCACTTAATTATTTGATTGCTTGATCACCAATTGAATACTATCTACGAATCTAGAATTGAACTCGAAAGTGGGAATTCTAGATTGCATATAGGATTGAGTAGAGCAAGTTCTTGAACCTGGGCCTCGGGGAACGGATTCGCGGTTAGGATAGACATATACCTAATTGCCTTGCTTGGTTGATTTACAGGAATTATAAATGCGTTCTTGTTGATTCTAATTCCATAGACATATAGGAGTTAGGTTAGCTTGAATAGGCGAGTAAGAACTCGACAGATTCTTATGAGCAATATTAACCCTGTCAACCAATAAACTAGATAAATTAGTTAGTCAATTCAATTGAAGAATACAATAGGAATGTTAGATAGCCCATAACCCTAGATCGTTTTCATTACATTGATATCATAAAAATCTGCTCTTCCTCTGTTTAAAGTTCATTATTTATATTTCTTTATTTAATTAGTTTAGAATCAAATACTTCTAGGTTTAATTCTTGTTTAGATAATTAGGATAGTCTAATTTAGTTAATAGTTAATCACAAGTCCTCGTGGGATCGACACCCGACTTTTAGTCACTTTATTACTTGACGACCGCGTATACTTGCGTGTGTGTTTGGCCGCAACACTAATGAAGTAGTGGCTTAGCTACCTTATGCCAAGGGTGGTCAAACGAACGTCCTTCACTGAAAAATTATACTGCGTATATAATTTAAATATTACTTTATATGTCTATATATTATATTCTGAACATCCTTAATACAGTTGAGTGAGGCAGTTCAACGGTTCATGGTGTTCAAAGACATGTGTTATTCACGGATTCAAAGTTCTGCGCATTTTATTTGTCAAAACTAAGCGGAGACCACCATGTACGGTCTATTTAATTCTTTTTCAATCTAAAAAATTTTATGATAAAATAACTCTTAAAACTTAAAATTTGTGTAGTAATAAATAACTAATATTAAAAGTAGTTTTTTTTAGCTGAAAGTTAATTCTTAAATAAATTTTATAATTTAAAAGTCAAGTTTTACAAAAATTTCTTCAACAAAAGCTCTCTACAAACTACAAATACTCTCGACTCTCCCTTTCCTTTGGTCTTACACTTACTTTTATTAATAAAATTTTTAATGTGTCTTTTTGTTATTAAAATTTTACTTTATAAAATTATAGTTCTATAATTTTTTTTATTGTTTAGCTAAATGATGCGTAGTTTAATTCCAAAATTTTGGTACACCATTCATCGACAAAAAAATTATTGATTTGTTTAACGTTTGAATGACTTTGACGAAATTTCTGGCTAGCTTACGAGCATATTCTTGTGACGTGGAATTGAAGGGGGATATCAAGCAATATGTAAAGAAGAAAAGAGTTAAACAATTGATCTATGTAGTGAAGAAAACAACTCGAACTTAGTATTGAATAGTAAGATTCCTTTAATTAGAGTCATTGGTTTGGACGGAAGCTGAGACAAATCCTCTTGTTAATTTCTCTTTACTTTATGCTTTTGTGTCACTGTTTTTGCAGAATTTCAGTTCATCTAATAAGTGTCTTATGTACTGCTCTCAAACCTTATCTTATACAACTGAGTCAAGGTTTACTTCAATTTTAAACTCTAAATTTACCTGAAAAGGGATTTGAACATCTCCTAAAGTTTGTTTTTACTGGAAAACATAAACTTAAAGTCCTTTTTTTTTTTTTTTTTTTTTTTGTGAAATTGAACTTTCCGTGTTGCAGCAAAATAGTGGCTATTTTTCAATGACTTTACAAATGCTGGCTATCTTTCAATTATCAGTCCGAAAAATGGCTAGCCCGTACTATTTTCACAATTTTTTTAGCTGACTAATGTGTTAAAAATCTAAAAATTACTGAAATACACAATTCATCCCCTTATAAGAAATTGCCTATGAGATCGCATTCTATCCGATTTTTAAGATTGGAAAACTTCAATATATCTCCTTCAACAGACACTAAAGGATCTGACCATAATATGGAAATAGTTAATTTAAGGAACATTATCACTACGTACGAGCCCTACCAATAATAGTGGACAAACATGCCTAGCGAATGAAAATATTCAATCAATGGTTTGAAATTTGTCATAAGTTTAACATATATTATACTCAAAATGTCGACATCTAATCAAAATACTTTATGTAAGTGATATGATACTTAGTAGGATATGATGTGACATGCAAAATAGTAAAACCAACATTTAACACATCATTAGAGTTATCTTACTCGTTAATTCATGTCATTTTATCACTGATGAAACATTTAATATTTTAAAATTGAATTAAAAAATGTATTTGTGGTAAGCTTGTCGGACCAAGCTAGGGTGATGCTAGTAGGGCATCATTTACAAAGTTACATATCAGTCATATATATATCACATAGAAAAATGATTATTATTTTTTGTAGACATCTACTTAATTAATTTCCTATTTTCTTATACTATTTTTGTTTACATGAAATATGAGCAGAATATGTTTAAATCAAACGACAGTAATTGTATTTCCAGCAAGAAGATAACTTGATTTTCTTCTTTGATTATTGAGTTGCCTTGGAACGGCAAGGGTGAGCTCTAGGTCTGGCTTTTGTGAATCTTGAATTGAAATATAATCACTTGAATTAATAAATGGGAGATTAAATGTTGGCATAGAATATTGTGGACTACTTGACTTTGAATATTTGTTTGACGAAGTAGTAAAATTTATCATGGAAATATTTGTTTCATCATCCTCTCTTGACTTCTCATATGAAATGGATGTACTTTCCTTTGTCTTGGTAACCCTTTTATCAAACAGTAAAATAGTTGATTTATCCATCCCAACCTGATGATGATCAACTTGGTTATTATAAAAGAGTAAAAACGAATTAACTAGCTGAAAAAAAATAACTAGATGAAGCTAATTTTAAAAAAAAAAAGGTTAAAATAAAAGTATCTAGGAAATTGCTTTGTAAATTGGAAAATTAGATATATTTATTTTAAGTACGAAAAATGGAAAGGTGTGCAACATTCTTATTTTGAAGAACCATTTTTTTTTTTTTTTTGGCATTCGGCATTCAAAATTCGTTCGGCTAATCTAGATTCGTGTCGCAATGCCTCACTAAGGAAGTAAAACGCGAGATTGTTATTCTCATGGCTCGAACTGGAGAACTCTGATTAAACATAGAGGGATCATCACAACCATATTATCACACCTTCAGAGCTATGTTACGTTGTTCCTACTCTTCAAAAATATTATGACGCCCATGTCGGATCCTTCAAATAAGAATGCATAGCTTTTAAAGGATCAGACACATATCCGGCGATATTTTTGAAGAGCCCGAGTAACATAGCCCCTCGTGTTCTCATATTTGAAAAATCAATAAATAATTTTGAGTCATTGGTAAAAGGAGAGGGTTTAGTTAAGTACCTTGTCAAAGAGACTACGTCTACGCTTGGTTCTATTGAGAGAATTTTGGCGAAGAAAATACTTTTGGGCATGACTTGCGACTTGTGTTGGTGTCCTTGTTGTCACAAAGTTCCTAGAAATGCCTCTCCAGTCTCCTTTTCCAAGTTTTTCCAATCCAACTAGAAATATTCTGTGTTCTTCTTCTGTCCATGGAACTCCTAGGGTAAATAATTCACCAAACCTCTTATTTGAATATATTTTCACTAGTAAAAGTTAACGAACCGAATAAACTCAGAAAAATAGTCGTTCGTCCAACCACTTTGACGTTAAAAAAAGACCGTTAGATGGAATATATGATCAATATTTGCATATAATATGTATATAACCATAAATAATCAATGTATAATCTATGTGTATAGGTTCGGAAAAATAACAGTGAATCCGACCGAATATTTCCTCTATTTAAACTAATTAGTCATAACGGAGTATGATATTTATTTGAAATTTGTGCTCCAAGATTAAACACTTGACATTCACACTTGAGTATATTCATTTTTCATGTGGACTAAGAATGTTCTATTTGAGGAGCTGCATCTATATTAATGTCTTTGGAAATTAAAAACAAAAAGAATCAATTTATTCTCTATGATCACTTGATGATATTTCCTTTGCGTTGATCTCTTAAAATTAACTAAAAAGAATTAAAGTACTTAACCTTCTTTTGTCATCAATTGCGTGGCTGCTCAATTTTTTTTTTTTTTTAAAAAAAAAAAAAAAGGTTTCTTGTTTGAAAGAAAGAAAGATTAGTATGTGTGGAACTATGGAGTTCCCCTCTCTAGAAAAAAGAAATTCTTTAACATCAGATCTATATATTTCCAGATTGCAATTTCCTTGCCACTTTAATTAATAAACTTACTTATAAAATAGATATTCTAACAATATCAAATTTATTGAAACTCAAAAAAAGAAACAAGGAATTACAAAAGAATAATTTCTTATAATTAGGAAGAATAAAACCTAAATAGTTGTTCACTCAAACGCTTGCACTAAATATAGCCGATAATAGATGTATAATATTTGTAACTGGCTAGAAAAAGTAAACAGAGTTAATTCAGCTGGAATTTGTAAAGATCCCATCTTTTCATGTATTTTCATATATGTATAAAGAGAGAGAGAAATACTACATAGACCAACTCCAAAGCCTAAAAGCTTCTCAAAATTAAATTTCATAAAACTGTTTTGTGGCTAGATTATGAAATATGTAAATCCTGTAAATCTTGAAATAAAAAAAATAAAAGGAAAAAATCAATGTTGTAATTAGAACACTAACCTTTTTTCTTATCTGAAGTTCTTCCAGCCAATTCATCAGAAAGATAACCATTCGACACTTTATAATCCAGATTTTCATCCAAAAACATCTTATAATTAGAAGCAAAAGATCCAACTGTTGAAGAAGAAATTTTCGACGAATTCGAAAGGCAACCAACACTAAAACTTTTCTTCATTGAAATATTACTAGCAAAAGAAGATGATTTTGGTATTTCAAGCTTCACACCAAAAAGTTTCATACCAATATTGGACGTAGGAGCTTCATTTTTTTCATTAATTTTTGTTTTCTGAGGTTTACAGGTTCGTGAATTGTGACCAGTTATACCACAGTGCGAGCATTTCCTTCCCATCTAAATTTATATCAGACAAATAAATCTGAAAGCTTAAAAGGAGAGAGGACAGAGCTTTGTATATGAAAATATTTGGTGCAATATATATAGATATAGAATATGAAGTAGTGGGAGCTTAACTATGAACCATAAATAGAGTATTTAAATGTACTGTTTTTTATTGTATATTTTTTAACTATACTTTCGATTAATCAAAGAAATAAAACTAGGGTTGACCCTCTTTTTCTTTTTTCTCTCTATGGTCAAGGATAAAATGTTTGTTTATCTTTAATATTAATGTAATAGGTTATCTGCGTTAGTTAGTACAACTTTTTCTAGGGATATTTTATGAGACTCACGTATAACGAAAAATAATGAGGTTTTAATTAAGTTGATGCCCCGATTTAGAGTAGGACTAAATTATCAAGAGCATGGGTGGAGCTAGGGGCACGAAAAGGCTACAATCGAACTCCCTTCATCAAAAGATTACGTTGCGTATAAAAACTAATATGTATATATTCGATTTTGAATCCCTTTAAACAAATTTGTATTTTTTTTTTAAAATATTTCCTCTATGAAAAGTTCAGCCTTGCCACGATTCAAAGAGTACTATGTAGTTAAAGAGATACATGGTACCAAAACTATATCTTTTCTTGAATAAAGCTTGGAAAGCTTCTAGAGAGGGTTCAAGTAAATAGTTTAAATGTTTGAGCACGTTTTCATTATGGATAAAAGAAACATATATGATAAAGGTGGTTGGGAAGAGAGAGATAACTTAGAGATGAGAGCTTAAATTTTTAATGTAACAAGGAATCTCAAGGTTTTGGCACTTTCAACTATTTCTCACTCCATATTTAAATTTTTTAATTCCATCTTTGAGACTTCTCCTTGTCCATCATCTCGTATTTCAAAATTAAAATAATCATATTATTCCATTAATTCATTTTAATATCCTAGTTCCATATTGAAAAACTACGCACTCAGATTTTGTAGCTAAACAGAAAAATCTATCGCTAATTCTAATTAGCGACCGCTTAACGACAAATTATTAAAAAATTCTGTTCGATACGACTTACGAACAATTTAACAACAGATTAGCAATAAAGTTAGTTGCTAATATCACTTTTCTTGGTAGTATATTGATCACTCAAAAAGTTTTAAAGGATATGATAGCATATTATTTCTAAATAATTCTTTGACAAAAATAAAGGAAATGTTTTTGTGGATGTGGTTAATTTTCTAAAATTAATGATGTTGATCAACCAGCGTAATTTAGTTGGAGGCTTGGAAAAAAGTGACTTTGCTTGTAATATGAACCCTTCCAATTAATATTCTTTGTCAAGTGTAGCGTCACCACTTACCATCTTTCATTATCAAACATGATAATATTTAGTACCACCTTATTATAAATCAAATCCAGTATAAATAGTCAAATTCCGAATCTTTTAGTGATATTATATTCATATATTTCTTCCAAACAATATTATCATTTTTTTTTAATATCGTTTTTTGGTAGGTAGATCTATCCATTCTATAATGATTTTACATTAATTAAGCATACACCTTTCTCAGTTAATGGACAAGTATGACACTCTTTGTATGGCAAGACCATTTAATAAAGAGTATGGCTAAGGCAACACAATATAACAAATTAAGTTGGATAACTTAAGTACATGAAAATGATTATTACCACCTTAAATATCCTTCACCTACTAAATTTGTTGTAGCTTTTTCCTGGAAAACACACACAAAAAAAAATACAACAAATCCATAGACTTATTTATTACTGTGCGCCCATTGACAATTGAGGCTTTAAAAAGGTAAAAGGTCCTCTAGCATATGTATAGTGGTGGCAAATAGATAAAAATAATTATTATCCATCCATATTATTAACTTATAAATATGGGTTGGATAATAATTTTTTTAAAAATAGGTCAAATATAGGTAAGATTCATATTATCTACTTAAAAAAATATAACCAATAGGTTTAACTGTAAGACCCCGCAAAACTTTAGCTAAAAACCTGAAATTTCGTGGTGCCGAGTTAGGCTTATGTGTTAAAGATTGTAGAGATTTTTCGCGGCTCGCAAGCTCACCGCGTACGGACTTTTTGGGTTGAACAGTGCATTGAGCAGTTAAAGGAAAATTTTGACAGAAAAAGGCATTTTTACGGCCCATTATGCGGCCGTAAAATCACTATGCGGGACGCAGAATGGCCGCACAGTGAGCCAGTCATTTGGGCCATTTTTGGTGTCATTTTCGCGGCCCATTATGCGATCGCAAAATCATTTCGCGGGCCGCACTCTGGTCGCATATCCAAAATGGAAGAATTGTCGGAGGGAGGTTCTGCGGTGCGTTATGCGGCCGCTGAACAGGTCTGCGGACCGTATACTGGTCGTAGACTGAAGTAGAAAATATTAGTTCCGGAGGGCCAATTATGCGGCCTACTTTGCGGACCGCAGAAGCATTATGCGGTCGCATATGCGACCGCAGATCCTATTCCGGGGCTTCATTTTGGGTTTTTATAACCCGACCATACTTCGATAAAATAGATGCAAGGGGTCATTTTGAGCAAAAAAATCTGATATTTTGAGAGTGAGAAAGAGAGCCTAGGGTGGGAGAGTGACCTTCAACCCATTGTCCATCAATCCTTGCTCAACCCTTGAAGATTATCAAGTAAAGCTCACTAAGTCTTCATCCTAAAGGTAAGAATCTATACCCTAGCCCTTAATTCTGAAATTTAACTAGAAATGGGTAATTAGCAAGTTAATCCTTTGGCATGAGAGTTGTTTATCTTGCATGCATGTATGATAAAAGAGTGGAGGAAGATTGTAAGCTAAAAATGGTGATGTATGGGTTGAGGAATGATGAGATCTTCCATGAAAAGGACCTTGAACCTTTAATGCACACTTAATGATTGATAAAATGTCCAAATGAACTAGAACCATGATCATCCTTCTAATTTTTGGTTCAACTTGTTATATTTCTAAAATAGATCGAAGTTGCTAAGAAATTCTGAAATGTTATTTAGAAGTTGAGGAAGCTCAATTGAGGTATGTTGGCTAAACCCCCTCTTCTTAGAATTGATTCCCACGGTGTTCATGTAATTGGGTAAGTCCCAAATTGATCATTTTAGAATTGGCTATTCCGAATAAACTTGTAGTGAAAGATATGTGTTTAATATGTGTTCCAAAATGCTTTTATCATGCTATGTTATCACTTGAGAATATGTTCAAAGTGTGGACTGTGTGTTATAAATGTTACGACTTCAAGTCAAGTTTGAATGAAGGTTGTTATGCCAAATTATGTGAAAATCTCTGTATGCCTAAGACTCCTAATTGCTTACATGTGTACTTAATGTCTTGAATTGAAAGGCCTTGTTGGTGACAATGATGATAATGTTGAGAATGAATAAAGTGAGTACGAAATATGAAATACAGCCAAGTGCCAAGTCTGATATAACAATTGTGGCCACTAGTGCCGATGAATTGAAAGATGTGAAAGAAGTATGAAATGAGATGATTGATAGAAAATGGTAATATCTCGGGTGAGACGGCCTAGCCGATCGGGACGTGATCGGACGACATGCCGCACACATGGTGGTGACTGTGCTGGAAATTATAATTGAAATTGTGATTGTGGTAGATGTCTCAATTGAGACGGCCTAGCCGATCGGGTCGTGATCGGATTCCGTGTAAGAATACGGTGGTATCGTGATTGATGGTATATAGGTATTAAAGACCTCCCAACCTAAAATCATGAAAATTTACTTGAAAGCTTATGTGATTCTTAACTTGATGTTTTGGTATTGTTTGAGGCTTCTATTGATTTCATGATTGTTCCTTCTTGTATTATTGTTCATTATATTGAGATGGTGTTTAGTTATACATACTAATACTATTCGACGGTACTAACGTCCCTTTTGCCCGGGCGGCTGCATCTTTAAATGGATGCAGGTGGTTCCATAGCAAATAGTGTTAATCGGCGATAGTGGTACACCCTCTTCCCAGCAGACTTAGTGAGCCCCACTTCATTCCGGGGTCATGTATTGTATCTTTTGTTCATATTATTGTCACGTTTTGAGGTATAGCCGGAGCCTTGTTGCCGGTACTATCATAATACTCTTTTGTATCTCTTAGAGACTCTGTAGACATAGTGTGGGTTGTATATGGGTGCTGGAAAGTCAAATGAAATATTGTTGTGTTTGGATCATCTATTCCACTTCAAATTATGAGGGTGTGTGTATTTTGGGACATTAACTAATGTTTTAACTAATGAAAATGACTTGGTATTGTATCCATGATCCCCTATTATCTAATTAAGGAAACTATGTCTTCTCTTATTTCATGTGTGAGTTTGGGTAGAAAGAAGCTAATAGGCTTATTCAGCCGGGTTCACTTGGTTGAGCGCCGGTCGCGTTCCCCGAGTTTGGGGCATGACATTAACTTTTATATTTGCAAAGATTCAAATTGGGAGTTAGTCAAATTCTGGAGACTAGAAATTCTCCCAAAAGTAATCATATTTCAAGAAGCCATGAAAAATATGGATATCTATATTCTCCCCCGGTTAACCCATTTTTTGTCCATATTAAATATGGATCGGCTCGAATATGATATACGTTTTTGCATTACCCGATTCTACCCGCGCATTAACCGCCCGTTTGCCACCCTTTGATATGTGTACAGTCTTGTCACGACCCAAAATCCTAACCTGTCGTGATGGCACCTAACGTTGTACTAGGCAAGCCGACATTTCCAAAATATTCCCAATATTTAATAGAAAATGAATCCAAGTAGTTTTAAATAACAAAAATCCTTATAAACGGGGTAGAAACCTCAAACATAACGTGGAAACTCCCAAACATCGGGGTGTCACTGAGTACATGAGCATCTAAATACTACAAGTCTGGAAAATACTGTCTAACATAGTCCGAAACTAAATACAATAAGCGGAAAAGATAGGGAAGGAGAAACAAGGTCTGTGAAGCGCCGGGCAGCTACCTTGGAATCTCCCAGAAGATCAACTGTATGATGAAATCAACACGCACCGTGATCGGAAACACCTGGATCTGCATACGAAGTTCATGATGTAGCATGAGTACAACCAACTCAGTAAGTA